CTGGATCATCGACAGGAACCTCCAGGTCAGCAGCCAATCACAGCGCTCTCAGACAAAGGTTCAGACACTCTGGAAGCAGAGGACATGATGTTAGTTCAATAGTGTGCAGCGGCACCATGAGGGAGCAGACAGGGAGCGATGTCAGATGAGCAGAGGATCTGATACCAGGTGAACACACAAGGAAAACCAGCACACCTGTAAGGGGGCCAACTGTAGGTAGGTCAGAACGGGCTAGGAGTCGAGGAACCAGCGGTGACAATGAGTGGATGTCGTGGTGCACGCACAAAGGCAGAATGTGCAGCCCCATGGCGAGGTAATCCACAGCACAGGACATCACAGGCAGCAGAACAGGTAAACTGAACGTAGAGCTGATTGGCAGCATCTGCACTCAGCCATGAGGAACAGGCAGCAAGCAGAGCTCTTGATCAAGAACACAGGACTGAGTGGTTTACCAGGGAGCAGACGAAGCCGGAGAGTCAGAGACAGGTGAGGTCAGCAACAAAGAAGCAGTCTGGTAATAAATGCTGGAAAGTCTTGCATGGATATGACGAAGAATAATCTTACAACAAGAGTCTGTCAAGCTGGAGTCGGCGTTAGCTTAATGAGGTGATTGTGGTGGACCGGCAGGGGCGGGAGATGTGTGGACAGGTGATAGGATGGCAGGTAGGTGTGGTGGATAGGCGGGGTGAGTGGAAATGTATCGGGTGAACAGAGACAGTGGCAGGTATGGCAGGTCGTACGTGCACACTGTGACAGACAGCATGGTACACTTTACTGCAACATAAACACTTTAAGTGTTTAATCACATTGAATGTTTTATCTAAAACAAAACCACATCAAAATCCCTTCTTCATCGTGGTGACTTCCTGTTTACCTGTCCCTCCAGGTGTCTCTGCTGGCCGTGGATGAGATGCACATGAACCTGCCTCACATGACCAAAGACATGTACTGGAACGACTGCGAGGCTCGTCCGCCATATACACTGGCTGCTGCCGACTACTGCATCCCTTCATTCCTCGGCTCCACCACCGACATGGGGTCAACACACACACACACTCACACACATTTTACACAATACACATCACACGTCAGCAGTGATGCGGACGCTTAACCGGTCCGTTGTGGTGAAGAGGGAGCTTAGCCAGAAAGCGAAGCTCTCGATTTACCGGTCAGTCTACGTTCCAACCCTCACCTATGGTCACGAGCTCTGGGTAGTGACCTAAAGAACGAGATCGCGAGTACAAGCGGCCGAAATGAGTTTCCTCCGCAGGGTGGCTGGGCTCAGCCTTAGAGATAGGGTGAGGAGCTCGGACATCCGGGAGGAGCTCGGAGTAGAGCCGCTGCTCCTCCACATCGAGAGGAGCCAGTTGAGGTGGTTCGGGCGTCTGGTAAGGATGCCTTCCGGACGCCTCCCTTGGGAGGTGTTTCGGGCATGTCCAACCGGGAGGAGACCTCGGGGCTGCCCCAGGACACGCTGGAGGGATTACATCGCCCGGCTGGCCTGGGAACGCCTCGGGGTTCCCTCGGAAGAGCTGACGAAGGTGGCTGGGGAGAGGACTGTCTGGGCTTCTTTGCTGAGGCTGCTGCCCCCGCAACCCGGACCCGGATAAGCGGAGGACGACGAGACGAGACAAGACATTTAAAATTTTTGATCGAGCAATGTGATTGGTTGAAGCCTCTTTGGTTGTTATGGCAACTGTTACACAGGAAGCTAGGGCGCTTTGTTTTCTTCTGTTTTCATTTTGATGTATTTGATGGAAACTTTTAAGGCAGTACACGTGAACTGGTAACTGTTGTATAAAGATATATCTTCTAGAGGGCGCACTCTTCATCAGCAGAATTCTAAGTGTTATGTTGCTTCTACTGGTCTCAAAAATCTCAAGTCAGAGTAATGTCATGTTGAGTTCAGAGTCATAACATCAGCAAAATGAAAATTTTTCATCCAATGTTTCTTCCAGACTTTCTGACATCCTGCAGGTTGATGAGCCTGAGGTCAGCGACAGTCGTCCACGGCGACAGGACTCAGTTTTGGCTTGGCGGCAAGAGTCGGTAATAGAGTTTCTTATTACCTCTGTCAAAGGTTCAGCCGGTATGACTGTTTGTCAGTGAGTAAGCAGATAATTGCAAAACCTAAATGAAAGATATCAGTGAAATCAGCCCGTTTTAGTTCACAGGTCTTCTAGTACTGATGCCAAGTCATGCCCCTCAACGTGTGATACCAACGCCGAAGGCACCCCTGAGCATCTCTAGAGATGCACTGGGCTTTCAGCTAACTCTGATATAAACTCACCCAAGAGAACATTCAACACTTAAAGCAACTGATATACAATAAAGAGCAAAAACATCCATGTAGGGTGGGCTGGAGGGGAGGAACAAACACAGACATTCATCCGGAGACCACAGGTCGTGTCTTGTCAGTGCTGTTGTCATGTTATGTTACGTAACTTACATCCGTCCGTTGTCTACTTACATCACTCCTGTGAAGTATTTAAAGGGTGTGTCTCATAGATCACGAAAGGGTGTCCTCTGCATTGGTATCACACACTGGGATTGTAAGAGAGCGTCTGTATATGACGACTTGATATGAGAACACGTTGGTGATATATAATGGAAGATGCTCTATATGCAGATGATAGAATTCTAAACATGGAAATCTTGGATGAATGTTTAAATTTGTCTACAGTCCCATATCTTTTGTTGTTTACAGGTTCTGGGTCGGGTCCGCCGGCTGCTGAGCGTTCAGGAGCCTCCTGACCTCCGACCTCCTCGACCCATCTTCAAACGACACAGCAGTGATGCAACAGGAAGCTTCTTCCCAGAGTTCAGGTACAGGGTTGCTCCATCTAAAGCACGAAAGATTCTCGTATTGAACAATTTTAATCACAGCCTATACGTTATTGGCGAGCAGCAACAAATAAGTGCCAAAAACTGCATTTCCTCTAACGGCCACTTGAGGCTGAGAGTGAGTCAATTCCCATAGACACCAAAATTTTGATGTCCTAAAAAGTATTGTTCGGTGTTTGGTTGAACTAAGTCAAAGTGCCGAACTTGAGGCTTCGAAGGAGTCATTGGGCGCAGTTGGGTTTTCTAAAACCATTTTATCAATCTTTCCAGGCTCAATCCACATCCAGAGGATACAGGTCCATCCTCCCCAGCCATTGACACCCTGTCAACCTTAAGGGAGGTCAGCAGCAACCCTCCGTCTCCTGAAAGGTCGCCCTCTATTGTTTTCCCTCGTCTCGTCGTCAGTCCGCCGTTGTCTGGCGACGTCTGCCACAACATGGATTCTTCTGGGAATAGTGATGCTGCAAAGCATCAGAATGGACTGGATCCATCCCCCACTGAGGAGGCACCGGGCTTTGATACCCTGAGGTAATTCACTGGTTTTCTGCTCAGTGTCATTTTGACTTCTCACTCTTTGTTTGTCCAACTCTGTCCATCATGAACCACAGTTTGTCTTAATTTATGTGATGTACTCCTCCTCTATCTTTTAAATTATTAATTCACTCCTGTCCTTCCACTCCTTTAACTTCCCTTTGTGGTCTGTCCCATTCTTATATATTTATTTATATGTATTTCCAGGACCAGCTCCTCAATCTGTTGTTCCCCCACCCAACTGGGACCCAAGGAATTCCGCTGGTTGACTCTAAACGTCCGGAATCGGCCACCAATGCGACCACGGGGACGCCAGTTCTCCCTCCAGTTCTCCAGGCAATCGTCGAAAGCATCGGTTCGAAGCCTGCCAAGCCCCAAAGCTCTGGGAAGGCGAAAACGATGCCTGGCTCGATTCCACTCCAGACGATTACCTGGTCCACATACCGACACTCTGCAGCTCCCTGACCCTGAGTACGACCACGAGTTCCAGGGAACAGCAGGAACGGAGGACGACGAGAGGGTGGGAACCAACAACAGCGAAGAGATCGAAAACTCCCAGTCACAGAGTTTGGAGAAGAAATGAGAACACCTTACACAGACACAACACACTGCCCAAACAGAGCCAGTCTCCACGATGGTAACAACAAGATAAGTCAGAGGAGAATTTGGATCAGTGGAGACAAATTTTCAGCCGAAGATCGTCCACCAAAGAACATGAAAGTCATTAAAGTTAACTTACACTGAACTAAAAACTAAAACTAGGTGCAACAAAAAAATCTCACATGACTGAAATTAAAAAATAAAGACCTACTTATGAAACAATATTGTGTACCTTACAAACAAAATAAAATAAAATACATAAAGCATATCTTTAGATTTAGTCTTTTCAATTTGGTAAAATTCGTCAATACAAGTATGAGGAGACATCGGTCCATATGTTTATTGAGGCTGGAATTACAACATGACTGTGAGTCAACTGACTTCACATAGTGCTGTGCTCAGGGGCAAGATTTAGAAAGGTCAGAAAAGGTATTACAATACAAACAAAAAAACCCATCAAACTAATACTGAAACAAAAACTCTAAGCGCCATTAATCAGTGATAATTTGTTAGATTGTATCACTTGCTACACTAGAGAGGAGAATATATTTTAGTGTAACATTGAAGAGGTTGTGAATATGTGAGGTCACTTTGGTCTTGTATATTTTGACCTCTGTAAACTTCATTGTGGTCCTGTGAGGCTACCGTACACGTGTGACAAACTGCAACCTCTCTTTGTAATGTCAGAAATTTTCCATTCAATCTTTGTTTTAATAACATTTAAACAGGTGAGTTAAATAAAAATTCAACCCCCTGTACAGTTGTCATGAATGTTGAAATTGGCTACAGAGACCAACACTGTTTTTGTACCAGCTGCTGCTGTAAAGATTTAACATGGGGTTCAAAAGAGATTGACTCGCTCTTGGAGCCAGCCCCTAGTGGACATTAGAGGAACTGCAGTTTTGGCACTTCCACGTTACTTTTTTTTAAGTCTTGGAGGTTGCCTGTTGAGCTGTACTCAACAGTTCAGCCAGTGATAGTTGATGGTAACCTTGAGTCCCACTTGTGTTACAATGATTACAAAAAGCTGTGAAGGTCATTTTAACTGTATCATATTTATTGGTCATGCAGTTGTCAGCCATTAATAACTGATGGATTAGTGCTTAGCAGTGGCCAAGCCGACCCGGTCTTGTCCTCTGTCGAAGATGCTGTAGAACTCTGTCAAAAATACATCTCCCAGAATCCACAGGGGGCCTTCGGGGGTAACAATGTCCACAGCCTGGAAACCGCTGAAACACAACTCCCTGTCGCCGAGCATCTCCTGTAGGTCGAGACATTTCAGTATCATACTGTGTATTTATCAAAGTAATTTGTCATGTCGAGCATAAAAATTAAACTGAATGAATAAGTGTGTCGCTCAGGTCCAAGATATAAAAACTTCAGACTAAACATAAATAACGACAAAAATATTGAATGTTAGCCGTCAAACCTTTGCTTCAAAACATTCGTCAGTACATCCTTACCTACAATAACCAATGTGTTTTGAAAGCACGTTATGAGAAAGACACATCTATCAGCACATCCTGAACCAGAGAGGAAAACTAAGACGTGGTATACAGTTTGTCTGGGGTGAAAACCTGTAGAATCTTCTCACAGGGTTTTAGACATCTGCTTTACAGTTTCCTGAAACACTGCAAACTGTCTTGGAAAATCCTTCATACTCTTTAATTGTATAAAGTTTGGCTGGACTGAAAATCTTCAGTCTCTGCTTTCTGTGACACATGCTTTGAAATATCTGTAGTCCAGTCGTAAGAAGAAAATGTTGGCATTGTTTGTTTCTGCAAACCATAAATACATTTGTACTTTTCAGACATGTCATATCAATGTTTTTAAAGTGATGCTGTATTTGAGCTGACAGTCACTGGGAGGTGGAGCGGAGGGTGGATTGCGTGACACCTAGACGAGACGAGTGCCAAGCTGCAAGCTCTTGTTATCTGTGATATTGGGCTTTATAAATAAAATTGAATTGAATTCAAGACCAACAAAATCGGTTGTATTTTAGCAAGTCATTGATTTGTTTTCAGCCATGATACCACCAAGACACTGCCATATTTCAAGCCAGAACAGTACCACAAAAAGCTTATTTCAATTTTTATACTAAGAAATTCCAAGGTCATTCCTGCATTTCCAGTTGGGACAGTGCCACAAAAGGGTGGTGTTTTTTCTATCAAAAAAATTGCAGCGTTACCTGTCGGGATAGTGCCACAAAAAGCTATTGTTACTTAACAAGACATTGCTTTGTTTCCTTTTGGAATACTGCCACCAAAAGCAGATTCTGGGGAGCCAAAACATGATCTTTTCTCTGCTAGACCTTCCTAACACTGAAAACCTCCAAGAAATCTCCCCGGAGCCTTCTGGACCTCTTAAGAAACCAAGACACCCTGTGGTACCCTTGGACCCTGGGCCTCTTAAACCCTTCAGAAACCCTTGCAAATACCCAAACACCTCCTAGACCCACACCCCTTGATCCCTACGCTACATGCTAACAATGTAATCCGTATTATTAATCACAACAAACACAGATGGCTGCAAAACAAAGTCTGTTGGTGATTTGGAAAGACACACAAAGAAGACAAAGCACGGACAGAAAACAAACCTTCCTGACATATTGCTCAGAAGTCAGTGTGTACTCTTTTCCTCCCAAAACGAATGTCACATGAGGCAAACTGGACAGCCGGACACAGTCGATGAGGTACTGAAACACACACAGAGGTAAAAATCAAAGGAGATTATTTGTTAATCAAAAGTCTTTTTCAGTTTTAATTATTCTCCAGGATGATTTTTTGTTTAACCTCTCCAATGTTTGTGGGAGAAGCTCCAATCAGCTGCTGAAGGCTGAGGATGTCATTGGTTGGTCCGGCGATGAGGGAGGTTCCAGTATCTACGATCGCCTGGCAACCATTAGGACAGAACGAATTCATACCCTGCACAGCCACGCTGAAACACACAGAGGTCATTAAGTTTGCATGTTTCTGTGAGCGGTGAGTGAATACTTGTTGTCTTATAGTCCTGCTGGGACCGCCATCTACTGGTTACTGTGTGTACTGCACAGCACACCAGCACAATCTATTAGCTGTGACGGTAACTGTGATGAACGAGGTCAAGAACCAAAGATGCCACAAAATCAGGAAAAGCATTTTGAAATAACAAAGAAATCATCAAAAGTGTGTCAGAGACCTGTCCATCTTAATCTGCCAGTATCTCTTAGCAGTCACAGGAAGCCAGTTGATTGGTCCACTGTACAACGCCTCGTCTGTTCCGCCTAGCAACAGTTCGCCTTGTGGGTTGCCACTACTTGTTTTCCTGCAGGGACAAAAATCACATTTCAAGCGACAAACTTTATTGACTTAATTATGTTCAGTCAAGAACCAAAAACACTTCTGAACACCCAGAGTCCTCTGCACCCTCCTGGGACCCTCTGACTCCTGTGAAAGTCTTTAAACCAACTCTTAAGCCAGACATTCACTCATACTCCAGGAGTAAAGGCCTTTGCACACAAAGTCTGTTTTAAATCCAAATTTGACGCATGTCTAAAAACAAAAAAAGAACAATCTCACGTCATGTCAATCATCTTTGCACACTGATTCCGAAACTTTAGTTCGTCATCAAAGTTGTCAAAACAGGTTTGATTTTCTGTGTTTTTCACATCTGTCAAAAGCCTTTAGAGATGTTTGACCAAGAATCAGAAAATAAAATCTGGTGGCAGGACACATCCATGACAAAACAGAGGAACGGGTCTAAAAAAAGTCCCTCAAAATGGTTTTCTAAGAACTACTATCGTTCCTAATTCTTGCAGTGCAGGCACAACAAAAAGGGGGGTTTTAGAACTATGAAAAGGCCCTCCAGTCTGAAAATGCCTTTGGCTTCTTCTCAGGAACTTTCTGGAAGCCCTTAGACTACCTTGAGACCTTTAAACTCTCACTGGGGAACCTCTGAAGTCCTGGATCCTTCTGGACCCATCTGACTAAAACATAGGTTACCCTAAAACATGTTCGATACTAGGGCATTAACGACTTTGATTTTTTTCAGGTCGACTTATCTGTCAATAAAGTCGAAGTCGAGTCGACAAGTCATTTGATGATGTCATCACATTGACACGGCGGAGGAAAGTGAAGTATCTCCACACATGTGATGTGTGTCTGTCAAGGGCCAAACATACTCGGGCAGAACGTACGCAGAACGGACTCCGCGGAGGTCTACACGGACTCAAAGCGGACTTCCGCAAGCCCTGTGCGCGCAAAGCTCAGATTTTACAACCGTGCGGACTCCGCTCCGCGCACCAGTGACTGCTCAGCATGTATTTTTCACATCGCGGGGATTTTTCACAGACATTTTTACAGGAAACTACAACGCGGAAGTGCGCTCGACTATGAAAGCCTGAATGACTGGAGTCTGCTCCGCTTATAGTACGCCCGAGTATGTTCACTTAGTCAAGGATAAAGTATCAGTGTAAGCCAATCAGAGGCAGCGATTGCATTCCGTACACAAGCACAGAGAGAGAGAGAGAGAGAGGGAAAAAGCACACGACTTGTCGACTTCTCCCGGGGGGTGTCGACTTGTGCCACTGACGTCAACACGTCGACAAATCGACTTTTCTGTTAATGCCCTAGTAGATACCCTTGGAAGCCAAAGGAATCCCAAATTATAGAGGTGTCTGCAAGACACAGTCTCTCTGAGTGTTGCCCAGATGTTCTAGCCAGTCACCACTGGAGCCAGATGGCACCCCGAAACATGGAAACGTCCTACATCACCTGAAAACAACCTGGAAACACAAGACCCTTTCAGAACCTCTCCTGAACAACCAACCAACAATTCTTGAGCTTTATATGGACTCCTGGAAGAGCGTAGACTCCAGTTTGGAAACCAAAAACAAGTGTGACTGTAAAGTTGCTTGTTCAAATACAAAATGAAACTTGTACAGGAACTCTCCTCCCTCCAATGCACCCTGAGTACGGCACTGAACCCTGAACTGGTGGTACTGGTTGTACTGGTGAGCTCCTGGTGTGAATGCCTGAAAGGAGACAAACTCTTGAGTCATGGCATTAGGCTGGAAAAAAGAGGTTGAACCTGTTGAGGTAAAAGGAGAAGACTTTCTCCTCCACTGTCTTCTGCGTCATCATGTTGTCAAAAAAGGGGTTTCCAAGGATCTCTGCCAGGGACGGGTACGCCATCCCCAGAACGCCATCGAACTTCGCCATTACAAATGCGGCACCAGGCTCGTAGACTGACTCTCCGAACTCCTGGTTCAGGACGGTCACACCCCCAACCTGGAACAGAAGATATGTGATTATGGAATTTGATAAAACAGAGAACATCGTCAGCCTCTCCAGCAGTGTGGGGTCAAAACAAATCTTCAAGTCTTAAGAGTTGGAGGAGCTGGAAGTAACAGATGTCAACATCAGTCTCCTTTTGCTCACAAACTGTTTTACTCTTGAAGTGATTTCTTGATGTTGGTTTGGTACGATAGAAATAAATGGGAATTTATTTTGATAGAAATGTATTTCCATGACCCCAGAATCAAGATTTTTGTCAGGAAATGTAATGCACATGAGTATTTTTAATGTTTAAAAGATAACACGCTGCACATACAAACGATTTTATTGATGTTTGCTATTACTGGACAGTTGGTATTACAGAAGCCGAAAGGAAACACAGGAAGACAGAAGGTTATAATAACACAGGTCCATGACCAAAACCAAACTGTTGTTCGACATCACGGTTTGTGGCGTGCACTGTAATGATTCAGCTACTAAATTTCAAAGGTGTCAAAGACTTTGTTTTCACGGCTGTATTACATGCTGGTATCCACCGTCAAAAAATTTGAAGAAAATCTTGAAATATTGAAAAAAACGTTTTTACACTCGAGGAGCTGGAGGAGTTGAAGTATCACCTAAAGATAAATACAGCTACGTTTGTCTATTATTTTTGGGTACAAAAACACTAAAGTCCCGACTGAAACAGAATCAGGGACATGCAAACGTATGGGATGTATCTTAAACGTCTAGTGTGTGGGATTTAGTGGCATCTAGTGGTGAGGCTGCAGATTGCAACCAACTGAAACTTCTCCTTATGCCAAGCATGTAGGAGACCTAAGGTGGGCGACACAAAAATGCGACTGGACTTATCTCTAGAGCCAGTGTTTGGTTTGTCCCTTTTGAGTTACTGCAGAAACATGGTGATTATATCATATATACATACATGAATATTTTTAGTGCAGTAGAATAAACTGGACCTTCAGTGTGTCTCTGGCCATCACTCCCAGCAGGTGTCCTGATCCGTAGTTAATCCCAAACATCCGACCGTCATGACGAAACGAAGAGGACTCAAACGCCCTAAAGCGTCTGTGCAACGCTGTGAACACACACACACACACACACACACACACACAGACCTTGAACTTCTTATCACAGTCTCTAAACCATGATGTCATACTGTTCTGACCCACAAACACAGCTCTTATAAAATACCAACAGTGTCAAACACCTGAGTGTACTGTGGTGGTATACTGTGAGTTGTGTGTTGTGTGTGTGTGTGTAGTGTAGTGTTGTGCAGTACCACAGGCTTGGCTGACGCAGTAGGATGACGGCACCCAGAGGTCGGATGAGCCAGTGTCAAAAATCACAGAGAAGTTCTGCCCTGGAGTCCCGAGAGTGATTTCACCATAATACTGAGCCTGATACACAACAGAGACACACAATGGAGATACACACAACAGACACACACACAACAAACACACAATATTAATTCCAGTGAAGTGTTTCAGAGATGAAAATTGCTAATAGTTTAGCCTTCTGCTAACAGGTGCTAAAGGCCCACGGCTGCAGCTTCATGTTCATGCTTATGTAGCTAACGTTAGCTAGAGCCTCAAGTCACAGTGTGTCCTCCGCCTCACTCCCCGCCGCAGCTCTGGAGGCAGACCCCCAGTCAGCAGCCGTAGCAACTTGAATCCAGCCTGCGCAAACCCCAGCAAACTTTCTGTTGCTGCCGTTACACAGGTTAGACCTGGTGCAGCTGGAAACTGCTATGACACCCAGCACCGGCGGGTTTTCCCCGGTTGAGTATGAGCCGCTACAGTCGCTGACCGAAGCTCTGTCTCTGGAGCTGCAGCCTGTTTTCCTCCCAGGGAAGCAGTCCACAGTGGTGAGGAGTGAGGCGGAGGGACTATGGGGCGACTAGCAGCGAATTCTTGTCTCGTCTTTGGTCTGATAAACAGAGAGAGAGCAGCGAGGACGGGCTGAGTTATGAGCTGCAGACAACTCTACAGTCAAACGAGATTAAATTAATCACTGTATTGAAACACATGGTTACTGTATGAAACGGATACATATGCCCATGGTGGAGGAGGAGGAGGGACTCATGAGCAGATGCTGGTTTGGTGCCTTGCTCAGCAGCACATCAGTAACACTAAGACAGTCAGAGTTGTTCTTACGTCCATGTAGTTGTAGATCTTCTCGCTGTAGCGTCCGAGCCGCAGTGACGGGGTGCCGGGCGGGAAGCACTGAGCGTAGCGCCGGCTAAACATGTCGGGGCGGTGATCCGTCAGGAACTCCTGCAGCAGGCCGTCGGCTCGCAGCTGGGAACGAACCGAACGCACCCGCTTCAGAGGAACCCTGCGGAGGAAACATTTTAAAAAATCTATTTGACTAGTTTTTCCTTAATCTTTAAAGAAGTAGTTCAACATTTTGGGATATAAACTATGAGACAGCCTGGTCCTGCACAAGACCTCTCACTGATTAACATGTTGTTTCATTTGTGTATAAACCACAGACTGTGTAAAGTAATGGACGTAGCCACCGTGACATCACCTACTGGTTTGTGGTCTTTTGTTTTGAAGCCTTGATTTGGCATTTTAGAGGTTTGGAGCCAGAAGTGACCATATCTGGAAGAGAGTGTGACGCTAACCCTAAAACCAGCTGCTAGCTTGGTTAGCACAATGCATTTACAGCTGTAATTAACTGTGATGCTAATGCTAATTTGTTACTCGCAAAAAACGGTATGTCTCAAAGTCAAGGAAGGATCCTTAAATGGCTGAATTTCAAGGACGCTACATCATCAAATTCCACCTAAGGTCTGCTCCGATGTCAAGGATCCTTCTGAGTGTCATGAAGGATGCATGTGTGTATCCTCTGCGGGTACAAATTCCTTGTAAGGACTCGTCCTACCAAGGAATGATCCTTGACTTTGAGAAACACCAACAGGCTTAAAACCATTAAAACAACCAGAAAAACTGATCCTCTGACCCCTAATGCTTCATTCACGCTACAAGCAACAACAGATGAAAACATTTGTGCAAATTTATTTATTCATAGCTGAGATCAAAACCTTTCATTTGCTGCTGGTCAGAATATTCTAACGTAAATTATGCCAGAGACATATAGTGTGCCAACTAACCCCGACCTCCCCTACTTTATATTTTCCAGTGTAAAACAAACCCGACTCACTAACTTAAACTAATAATAGAAGTCAATTATGAGTCAATTTTCAAAACTGTGGGAATAAAATGTTTTTTTTAGCCCTAAAATAAATAAAAAAAATATCCGTTTTCATGTCTGCAGTCTGACTTGAATGATAAAAAAGCAGTGACTGTATTTGTACACTGACATTAATGAAGGTGTATTTTTCCTACCTGACCAGCGCTGAGCTCGTCCATGTCCAAACCAACAGCAGCACCAACACCAGCCTCAACATGTCTGTCCCCATCTGTCTGTCCAACTGCTGGTTTACACACCATGAGGAGTTTTCATCGGAGTTCTCTGCTGCTCTGATTGGATCACCTGCTCTATGTGTGTGTGTGTGTGTGTGTGTGTGTGTGTGTGTGTGTGTGTGTGCTGATAAAACACAGACACTGGTGGAACCTGAAACTTGATGCATCAATAATTACCTGATGAATAACATGACAAAGTAAAAGCAGCTATCAGACAATATGTGAAGGTTTACGTGCTTTTTCCAGACCTGTCTTTCGCGGAGACGGGGCTGCTAGAGAGGAAAATGTTTCTAAGACGTTACAAATGTTTTATTGCGAAACTACGATTAAGATAAGACTTTATTTATCCTGAAGGAAACTGTTGTGGTTTGTGTCTGTCCAGTTTGGGGACCACAGAATTGCATCTCCGCTCTTTGCAGATGATGTGGTTCTGTTGGCTTCATCACAGCCTGATCTCCAGCATGACCTGGGGCGGTTTGCAGCGGAGTGCGAAGCCGTCAGGATGAGAGTCAGCACCTCCAAATCTGAGGCCATGCTTCTCTGCCGGAAAACGGTGGATTGTTCCCTCCAGGTTGGGAGAGTTACTGCTTCAAGTGAGGGAGATTAAGTATCTCGGGGTCTTGTTCATGAGTGAGGGTGGAATGGAGCGTGAGATGGATCGGCGGTGATGCAGGTGCTGTGCCGGACCGTCGTGGTTCAGAGGGAGCTGAGCCGGAAAGTGAAGCTTTCGACTTCCTGGTCCATCTCCGTCCCAACCCTCACCTATGGTCATGAGCTCTGGGTAGTGACTGAAAGAATGAGATCGTGGATACAAGTGACCAAAACGAGTTTCCTCTGTAGGGTGTCTGGGCTCAGCCTTAGAGATAGGGGGAGGAGTCAGACATCTGGAGGGAGCTCGGAGTAGAGCTGCTGCTCCTTCACGTTGAGGTGGTTCAACATCTGATCAGGATCCTCCTGGGCGCCTCCTGTTAGAGGTGTTTAGGGCACATCCAGCTGGTAGGAGGCTCCGGGGCAGACCCAGAACACACTGGAGGGATTACGTATCTCATCTGGCCTGGGAATGCCTTGAGGTCCCCCAGGAGGAGCTGGAAAGTGTTATTGGGGAGAAGGACGTCTGGGGTACTTTGCTCGGCCTGCTGCCCCTGAGACCTGGCTTTGGATAAGTGGATGAAAATGGATGGAAACAGTTGTAGAACAAAAGTAGAAAAGCGTACAAATAAAACAACATATAAACAATAGAATGATAAGTGAGGTGAAAAAAACAAACGTACACAATGCCAAAAGTGTGAACAGGTTAATGGTTTCACTGGGAAGAAAATAATCAGATTTTACTGTAAATAACTGTATGTTAACATATTTCTAATCACATATAAATCTATGTGAAATAACAACAATTATCTCTAATTTAATAAAGTTTCTTTAAATGTTTTTTCTGTAGTGGAAAATTCCAGAACTGTTTAGTTATTTTAAGGTAAATTACATTAATTCTACTCTAAATGTTTACTTTACAAATTCTGTACAAAAATGTACACTGAAAAAAGCAGCCTCTATAAACAGAAATGATCACTGCTATACACACATGCCAAAAGATTAATGGTAACACTGGGGAAACTGTAAATAACTGTATTTTAACATGTTTAAAGTTACAAATAAATCTATGCGAAATAACAGCAGTTATCTATTTTAATAAAATTTCTGTGAGCATATTTGTTTTTTGTTTGTTTGTTTTTTGCAGAAAATGACAGAACTTATTTTAAGGTAAATTACATTAATTCTGCTCATACATGTTTACATTACATTCAGTTCTGCATGAAAACACACACTTAAAATAATAAAACCGAAATTATTGCTGTAACACACACATACCAAAAAATAAACAGTGAGGATCATAACAGACAGATTGATGATATTTTTAAGGTCAAAATGAATTTTAAAATTCTACTTAGTGAGCTGCGTTTGATCGATAATCAGAATCAGAAACACTTTATTGATCCCCGAGGGAAAAAAACTGTGATTCGCTGCAGTCGCTCCGATGTATAGAGAATTATAAGAATAAGAGTATGAAAAAGACGTTAATATAAAGTAGTAAAATAGAATAAAAATAAAAATCATCATGCAACAGTGTTTAACACTAATACTTAAGATACAGAGAATAAAAATGTCTTCACTCTGCTGAGTCATTAAACACTGCATAAACTGGTATGTTGTATTCAGAAATATCAAATATGTCTTGTGTTATAATGTACAATTTATACATTAATAGAATAAAAACAAGAATAAATATGTTCAGTTATGTGCATTACATGTTGAATACATGTTGAGGTGTTGGTGAGAATAAATCAGTTTACTTTTTAACAGGCCACACAAACTTTATGCTGTTTTATTTGTCTGACAGTTACAGTTACAGTTAAGGCTTTTTAAGAACTGTTGGACGCCTTTTAGCCACATTTAGGTCCAATATTTTTACATATATGTGCCCTTGCTCAGAGGAAGGTGTTTAATGGTTATTAGAGTGAGTTATGTTGATCTACATTCTGCCAACAGATGTGCAAGTATGAGGTACGTTCTGTGACATTAGTCAGTGTTGAATGAAGCCGACTGTAAAGACCGAGCATCTTTTATTGTGGGGAAAATGAACAAGTTTTATGATTAACAGGAATCTTGTGTGGTTTCAGTGCTGTTGGGTAACTTCAGTGTGTTGACACTTTGAGGTCTCAGTCACTCTGACCTGATGAAGCACGGCCATTCTCACAGAGGTCCCTTGACCTCTGACCTCAGAGGTCTGATCTGACTTTAAATGTGTTCTGTGGGTCCACGAGACTCTCCTTTACAGACACGTCCACTTTATGTTCGTCCCACACAGCTCTGGGCACAAAGTACAGATTTATGACACACAGTGCTGAGCTGCATCTCAAATTGATCTGCAGGTTTCCAGCTTTCAGGTGATACAAACCTCTTCTGTGGGCACATACTGCTGACCTGCTGTCTCCCCCAGAAGATCCCCTGTACCCCCAAAAAAGACAAATCTGAGTCTACAGTATGTGGCTGTCAGATGGTTGTCTTTTTGACCACACTGTTGTAGCAGAGCAGCTCTGATCTGAAAGAAATAAATCTAAAATTTAAGATCGTAAAGTTAATTTCTTTGCATGAATTTAATTCCCACTCAAAACACCCTCTAAGAATGACTTCACGTTGTTAATTCAGACTTTAAAACTGTTTTGAAACGCAGAATTATGGACTTTAAACCTGCAATTAATCGTGATTAACAAAATTAATCAATCGACAGTTCTACTTAAAGACACAAAGATAAACAAATCTACTGGTGAGGATTGTTTTTTTTATTTTCAGTAAACAAAAACAAACAACGTCCAAACTTCTGTCATAATCGGCACAAACCGGCCAACGTTAGCACAACCAGCCTCCAGCAAGTGCTGTAACCTGAGCTAACGTTAGCATCACCAACACGTCACATTAGCTCCACACTTCCCACTGACACAGTGTTGGGTGGTGCTAGCGTTAGCCGGCGTCCACAGTGAGAGTTTAACAGAGAAAAAGGACAGCGGAGCGTTTCTTCAAATTTGATCTACACAGAAGCCATAAATAACAAAACTGATCCCTCCCCCGTTTGTCATCTTCATCCTCCTCTTCCTCTAGCAGGGGTGATGGTCCGGAACTCTCTTCCTACAGAAACAAACAACAACAGTCAGGAAACAATTTGAAGTTTTGACTTGTGAGGAACTCTGAGCAGCAACAGGAGAAACTAAAGCTTCATTTTCTTTATATGAAACTTTAAAGTTTAGAGACACATGTATAAAGATAAACTGGACACAGAGACGAGGACAAGCTGCGATGGACCGACCTGGGCGCAGCTTTGATGATGTTGTCGACTCTCAGGATCATCTCAGCGGCTTCAGACGCGCTCAGCAGCACCTGACGCTTCACCTGGAAGGACTCTGTGATGCCCAGCTCCGCCATGTTGCCGATCACACCTTCAGACATGTCTGCGGGGCAAAAACACACACTCTCATCATGTCTGTCTAAAGCCAGCTTTAACGTGTAAAAATATGAACCATTGTTTTGGAAAGATCCACGTTAACTGTATTCAAACGTAACGTTGGGGCGGCTGTGGCTCGCACGCTGAAGTATCCTTGGGTAGATACTGAACCCCGAATTGCTCCTGGTGGCTGTTCCATGGGCGTGAGTGTGTGTGTGTGTGTTGCATATATTAAGAGTTGTTTTCTTATTTTACTCATTCTGAAAGGCATCTTGTTTTATACCAGCACCTGCCAGTGGGCCATCACGATGAGAGCACACATGACAATATGTTAATTTCACTAAAGGAGAGACCTGATGTTCTCTGCAGCTATGTAGGAAAAACATACGTTCATATATCGGCTTCTTGCACGTCATTTAAACTTGAGTCATGTTGAAAATCTGAAGAAAAGTCAACAACTTTTACAGAAACACAGTAGCCTCTTTTACACTGCCAGATTTTCGGCTAATGTTGGGCTGTTTTGCCGGCAAGCTGCGAGCGTTTAGACACACAGAGCCAGATTGGCGAGTTGATTCGAGGTGCCCAACTTTCCTCCTCGTAGGGTAGACATATTGGTGGAACACTTTTAGTTTAAACAGGCTGAGGCAGCCTTCTGCAACGGGAGGAGCTGTTGATGACTTGTGGGAGGAGCTGTTGATGACGCCGCACGTGCGACCCACTGGCGATGGATAAACAGGAAACAGCTGATAGCAGGAATTAGCGAGCAGCTAGTAGCAAGAGGGAAACACAAACCTGACAGACACTGTAAAGATGAGCAACTGGGGAGACAAGGAATTGCGCGCCCTCCTTGTCCTCGCAAACGAAGAGGCCATTAACCGTCAGATGACGGGGACGGTGAAGAACGGGCCGACTTATGAGAGAATCACCGAAGGACTGTCCAGCCGCGGCTTCCCTCCCACGTCACTGTTTACGTCACACGCTGAGCTACACGTTTTGTTACTTGCTCACGCCCCCCATTGCCCCGAAAAAGGTGCATTCTGTATAAACTAAA